TATATATATATATCTGTGAAAAGCTCCCTCTATATTCGACAGCGACCTGATAACTCTCTCCGGCACCTTGTGTGCCTGCCCACGCCCGTCTCTGCAGACCGGGAGCAATTCTCGAACAAGACGCTACCTCTTCACAAGATGCTCTTTCCAAACTCGGGGTGTTTCCTAACTAGAGGTGTGACTCAAGATGAAACCAGGATAAGAAATATGTTCTCCAGTCATCTTTAGATTATGCGTGACTTATACAAACATTTAAGAACGTTGCACAATTGTGGACGTCTTTGTTCGGCTTGGAAAAATTCTAGTTCTGAGAAGAGCCATCTTCTTCCGTTGATCAGGTTCCCCTGGTGCTGATGGTCTTCATTCAATGATTTGTTGATATTTCTTTGTTTTGGCCAACAACGGATTCATCGACAATCATTATGTCTGACGTACAATCTTGACCTTTTCTATAGAGAAGTCATCCTACTGTAGTCTCACAGTTCCAAGAGATAATGGAGTGCGTTTAGCTGTAACCTGGATATCACTTGCCACATCTTGACTCGGTTTGGTTGAGTATAACTCACTCCATCTTGATTTATCTAACCAACGAAACGTGAACACGGTTACAGATGAAACTGCCGACCGCATTGCCGACACACTGCCCATTTTGTTTACATCGAGCGTTACGATGTGCTGTTTCTCCGGTCTGCTCGATTGTCAAAATCGGACTGCAAAAGAATTTCTTTCGGTTTTGCCCACGTGCTTCCTTCGGGTAGCCTGGCCCTGAATCGGTTGCCCTCGTGCTTCCTTCGGGTAGCCTGGCCTTGAATCGGTGTTAAGGCTGGATGATTTACAGAAAGGGAATGCACTCTTCAGTGCGAAAAAGTCGGGAATTATCAAAACTGTCCTTTTATTTGAAATCTTCCTCAGACGGAGGTGGGTCCTTACGGGAGTGCTGTACGAGGCTATCCTCGAAGCTCGCATAAGGAAACCTTATGAGGTCTTCACACCCATGATAACTAGTTTGTTGGCTTTTCCATCCCTAGTGAGCGCATGTTTATTGGTTTCAAAAGTTTGAATATGCTGTTCTCGAGTGGAAGCTCAAATGAAGCCGACAACTTGCAAAATCGATTACGGCTTCAGATTTTCTTGCGTTAGATAGATGGGCGGAAAAGGCCTATTCTGTCTCCTGTGATCAACCTGCGGTGTTGTTTTTGAGCTAAACGTAGACCGTTTTTGACCTTGTAATCGGACGTGTCGTTTAAGTTCACACGTGGTTTCGCTAGCCTGCAAACACGTGGCTTTGAGTCGGCGTGGACTTTGAGACCCGTTAGGAATTAGCGGTTCCTAAACCGGTTCATGAGAGTCGGCACAGCCCCACGATTTGTACTTATATTATACTTATCGTACCGCATTTGTAGATCTGAAAGTTTTGACTTTTGGGGTTTTGCACGTAGCTCGGCCTGGCTCACCAGATTGCTGGAATCAGTCTATACTGCACAGGTTGCGCTGGCTTGGCCACGTGCTGCGTATGCCAGTCGACCGACTTCCTTGAAGAGCACGTTTCGCACAACCAGGTGAAGGGTGGAAGAGATCCAGAGGCGGCCAAACAATGGCTTTGCAGCGAAGTTTACAAACCCTTACCAGCTTGGCTGTTAATCGCCGTCTTCCTGGATGAGGATTCCGAGACAGGCGTCATCAATGCCTAGAGATACTGTCAGACATGGCCTAGTCGCACTCTGAATAGCGCTCGTGCATCAAAGCTATTGCGTTCAATGCACAGATCCTCTTCCAACACCCCTCTAATTGACAGCCTACTGACCGTTGGATTTACGCACCAATTCATCAACTCTCGCCTGCAGTGCGCAGCAAGCTACTCCCCAATGATCGGTGCACGAAACTGCGGCAGCTACAACCACTGAACGACAAGTACGCGGTTATCACAGCTGACAATGATGATGGTGGTGAACCTTTGGGGAGTACTCTGTATCAAAATGCGTCTTCACTCAATACTTGGATTAAGTTATCTCGGAAAGTGATGAAGGGCGTATAGGTCAGTTTAAAGATTGGCAGGTAGCTGCAGGCAACATTAAACTCTCTGCCCAGAATGAAACGAAAACAAGGCAGAGTCAAAAATCACATCTCACCAGTTTTTCGTTTTGTCGCTGTTGGTTGTAAAACTGGAATTTCAGGTAGGGAGGATTGTTACATTCTTGGCAAATTTCCAAAACTAATTTTCCCTGTAGTTGAGATACCGTGACGCCCACACGCGGCGTTTTTTTTTGCCTCAACACAAAAATCACAAAACGATGAAGTTATCTGGCTCCTCAAACATAAATTTCCATCTTGTCTCAATATGAAAGAGCGTATTTCACAGAACTATTCGGTAAGATGTAAGCGTTGGAACAAACAGACGGAACGGAACGGAACGTCTCTGACTGTCCCGTAGCTCATTTGATTGGTTTTATTGATTTGCTCCCGCTTGCCGGACCAAAATTATGGGACCGTAAATAAGGGTGAAATACCGCAAGTGTGATTATCACTTAACCTGATGAGGTCACACCGCCGAGGTCACAACAAGACCATAAAATCTGACTACTGATTTTTTTTGCCTAACGGCTGCCTTGTTTTCTACTTCAATCCGTACTGTGCTTTCTAAAATGGATAGATGAGGTACAACAAACGCGTTTTATAGGACGGGAAGAAGACGCCTGGTTAAAAGACATTTTTGTTGCTTATTGTTCGAGCATTGCCAAAGTAACTGTTTGACTTTAACCGTTCCTAGGTAAGTAGGTCGTCCCGAGTGCCCAATTACAGTGCCCCCCGTCAGTAAGGAGGCTTTTATGGGTGAATATATGAAACCCCAATATTTAACTCTGATGATGTAGTGGTCTCAACAGTTGTTTTCTGAAAATTTCATGATCGTTACGCCCTTGTTAGTACGTGCTCTACGCATAGAAACGCACGCCTTTCACAAGCCTGACCATTTAAGGGCTCCTCGTAGAGATGGCCCAAGTGGATAGAGCGCGAATTTGCTGACCGGAAGGTCCGCGGTTCGAACCCGACCTCTCGACCTCCCCTGTCTAGGCAACCTGGCAGTATCCCAGCCCTCGTGCTTCCTTTGGGTGGCGTGGCAGCTAGGTACCGAAGAGTGCTACAGCTGAATGTTTTTCCCCGGTAGAGACTACTTCACCTAATTGTCCGCTGAAAACGTTCCCACTGACAACATTTGGTTTTTCACCACACTCGGGGTCTTCTCAAGAACATCCAGCATCTAATCAAGTGATCGGATCTCGGATCTGAAGCTCTGTCGTCTTTATTGATTATGACCCTCTACCGAACACATGATCAAGCCTCATGTTGGACCCACCGAGGTGGATTTGTCAAGAATATTGTGCCGTAGAGAGTTGAAATTAATAACCCAACGGATATCCATACGATCAATGAAATTTTGTTATTTATGACATCTTCGGGTTTGGTTTTAATCAGTTTTCGTGTGATTCCAACTGAAGTATGCTACAAAGTTTTTGTAGCAACAGACCCTGGATTTTGATGTTGAAAGGTGGTCACCAGGTCTTTGTTTAGTTGTCACATGATTATCGTTTAAACTCAGTGTTTCTGAAATATTTCCTGTAAGCGAACATACTGATGTGTAAGCTAGCAACTTCACTTCCAGATTCGCAGACCGAAATCGCACCTGAAAAGCAGCCATATAACTACCCAAAAAAATTAGTATGAGTACCCTTCGCTGCAAAGGTGTTTACTAGCAGACACGAACTAAACATGAAAATGAAAATCTTGTCTGTAGAGAGTTTTTAA